TGCGGCGGAACGTTTGCGGGGGGGGAGTGGGGACGCAGAAGGAGCGGGGACCTCCATTATTTTCCCACTTGCCTCCTGACTGCTTTTGCCCTCCGTTTCTTGCCTTATTATTTTTCTTACTACTTGTTCTCTCTCTGGCTCCTCTTGTGCTTCGCGTGTGTTTTCTTGCGTGGCTGCGTCGCCTGCCTTGGCAGCCGTCTTGGGCGAGATTCGAGGCCTGGCAACCGGGCGTCTTGTTCATTGCACCGCTGGCGCGTAGCGCTGACCCGCGCCGCCGCGACCGATGAAGGCGTGGGCCGCCGCGATTGACAGGCAGGTCCTGCTCCGCAACGCCGCGGAGATTCAGCCCACGGAGAGCGTGTTTGACGCCCACCACATCACGCAGAGTAAGCTCCTGCGGGTGCAACAACGTTTCCAGGAGCTCGTCGAGGAGAAGGCGAAGCTGGACGAAAAATGCAGGGGCCTGATGCAGCACGTGCGAACGTTGGAACTTACGTCGGCGGGTGTCATAAATTCTGCCGCCCGTGAAGCAGAGCTGGAGGCAAAGGTGGAGGAGCTGCAGAAACAGGTGCAGCAGAGCATCACAAAGGAGAAGGATTACTACAAGAGCCTTTACGAGGCCAAGCGCTTTGCGGAGGAGAACAAGGCTCTGAGGGAAGAGGTAGCGCAGTTGAAGGAGCAAGAGACACAGCGTGAAAATGTGCTACGGATGTTAAGAAATGATTACGCCGCACTCAAACAGGAGAACAACGTGGTTAGGCCAAAGCTGAACACGCTTATCAGCGAACGGGATCGCTGCGTCAAGGATCTGCTTGCCGCCAAGGATACGATGGCGCGGATGCAGGACACCATCCTGGAGTACGAGGATAAGTTGAATCAAATGCGGCGGACGCAGCGGGAAAGCGGCGGCGGATCCGTTGGAGCGACGCATTTCGATGCAGTGGCGCTGGCGGACGACCCAGTTCGCGGACGTCGCGTTGGGAAAGGCGCTGTGGCCGCCCAACGCGATGTCGCTGCTGCGTTGGAGGCTCCAGTCCCGAGTAGTCAGGCGTACACCATCAATCAGGCGCACGGCGATCGATTGTTGTACGCGACCTGCGCTGCGGATAACGGAAATTTGCTCGTCTCCGCTGGTGGAGATCGCTTCATCCGTCATTGGGAGTACAGTACCGGGAAAGCGCTGCGCAGCCACCCGAGTACCGACGTGCCGCTCTGCGTGGACAGCAGCTCCCACTATTTACTTGCTGGTTGCGCCGATGGCGTCGCCCGGCTTTGGGATATGCGTACCCTGCGCAGCGTAGACCTGACGGGGCATCGTGAGAAGGTGGTGGCGGCGTATCTTTCCCAGTCAGCGCACACCGCCTTCACGGCGAGTTCGGATCGCACCATTAAGCTTTGGGATGCTCGAAGCGGCGCAAGCCAGAGAACCATCATGTGTTCCAGCAGCTGCAATGACATCTGCGTGGGTGGCTCTCTCATTTTTTCGGCGCACTACAACGGAAGCATCTGGGTGTGGGACCGCCGCACAAATGATCACGGTACGGAGATCAAGCACGCCCACCAGAAGGGTGTCACGTGTGTTCGCTTAGACCCCAGTGGTGAGCGGTGTGTGTCACTTGGGCGCGACGGCGCCGTCTGTGTGCGTGACGTGCGAGAGATGTCCCACGAGCTTCTTCGCGTTGAGGACGAGGGGCTGCGCTGTTCCACAAACCTTGCCCGCCTTGCGGTAAGTCCGGACGGGAGGTTCTGCGCCTTGGGCAACCTGCACGGCGCAGTGCTCTTCATTTCACTCGACACCGGTCAATTGCTCGACGAGCAACTTGTGGGGGGGCATACGATGGCGGTTCACAGTGTCGTCTGGACCCTTTCTGACTCGACGCCGATGCTTGCCTCCATTGGCGAGGACAAGCGTATCGTTGTGTGGAAGTAAACCCACCGCGTAGGTGCAAACAGGGGGGTCTCGTTTCCCCCCCCCCCCCACCACTTTTTTTTTCTCGCTTTGCTTCCTTTGGATGTTACGATGACTGTTGTTCTTAGTTCCTTTTTTTTGGGGGGGGGGCGTGGATTCTTCAGTGATGTGTCAGCCTGCTTCTCCCTTTCTTAGACAGACATACACTGAAATATGTGTCTGTCTGAGTGCGCGGCTTGTCACGCGCAGATTTCCGCGTGCGATGCGATTATGCTGGCTGCGTGTTTGTTTGTTTTTTTTTTTCGTGTGTGTGGTGTGCCGGGAGAAGAGCACAAGGCTTGGGATGAATGGCCCTGCCAGGCGATGCGCATTCGCGCGTCCCACACCCCGTGGCATGCCAGGCAGCAGTGGGCGCTGAAACCACGCCGTGGGGCGGCGCCCGGAGCAGGGCTGAGGGCGACTGCAGCAGCTGCGACACGGTGGAAACGGCGCCCGAGATGATGAGCCGCTACGAGCACGTGATAGAGCTGCTAGCGGCCCAGGCCTTGGCGCAGCAAGACGAGATCAATCAACTGAAAGCTGCCCTCAGTGAGGCGGTCAGTCTTCCTGCTGAAGGCGTGGCTGAAAAGGGGTTTGGGGGACAAGCATCGACGCAGGGACACCCTGCGGCGCGGCGTGAGTGCGAGAAGGCGGCTGCTGAGGACAACCCATCAAATATATTGGGGAAATGTAACGGCAGACAGCACTTGCCAAAGCACTGGCGGCGCCGCGTGGAAGTTCATACTGTGCAGCTGCTAGAGACGTACATGCGGCATATGGATGAGTGCTTGGCGCAGGGGTTGGTGGAGCGGCTTCGGCGCGTCACCCGCGGGCACGTGATACGTTCCCTGGACAAGGAGGTCCTCCGCGTCATGCAGGAACGTCAGCGGCCCCCGCAGGACAGACGCGTATTCGTGCGAAAAGCACCCGATCAGGATAGCCACGAACACCATCGCTTGTGGTCCCCTTCTCTGCGGGTTGAAGCAAAAAAGGGCAGGATGACTGCGAACCAAGTCGTTCCCGCACCCCGGGCTTGGCCGAGGGGGGAAGCTGCCTCACATGCAACTCCGCTGGTGGCAACGGAAGAGGCCGGACGGCCTGGGTCCTCTATGAATTCTTCCCTGGGGCTGTGTGCCGTGGACCCAGGCAACACCACCGCAACGGAGCCGAACACGTCTCTCATTTCAGCCGAGTCATCCGTAATAGGGTCAAGTGCGTCGTATCTGCGCCAGCTGGACCACGTGCTGTTTGAGCAACTTCAGCACAAAGTCCTGGCGCTGGAGCAACGCCTCGCCGCGGCCTCCTCCTCTGCTCCCTCTGGGAACCAGACGTCCCTGCCATCGCCGCTGTCGCCACCGTCTGTGGCAACGACACTTGACTGCGAGGGCCGCTCCAGTAGGGGCTCCTCCTCGTGGTCCCCGACAAACTCCAGCAGTGCGACCAACGCAAGCGATGACATAAATCTGCTCCTGGACGTCTTCAAAGGGCGCCAACCCGTAAACGCCGTTCATAAACTGCTCTTGTGATGCAGTTTGGTGCTGGTGGTGGAGACCTACAAAGGGAGAAATATAAATGTATATGTTTGGTTCACGCCATTCTGTGTTTGCTGTGGTCTTGACGGATGGCATTGGCGGTTTGATGGGGTCTCCGCGCCCTGCTCTGCCTCCCACCGCCTCACATTTCCGAGCGAAACATACCCGCGTACTTAAGCTTAATCCATAGAGAGAGAGGGGGGACATAAGGATGGAAGGAGCTGATGTGCAAAAGAAGAGCGACGGGAAGGGAGAGAGAGAGCGCGCGGGGTGGTGGAGGCGCAAAGAAAATAACACTATGCAATAGTGTGAAGACGACTCTGAGCGTGTCTTCCTTTGGAAGTCAGGCAACAACTGCTCATGTGAGTGCAACCCTGGGCTGGTTCCGCGTCCCTGTCCTCTCCACCTCTCACGCTGAGCGCGCAAAGGGGATCTAGGCCGCAATGCTGGGTGGCTCGGGTTCCGACGACGGGGCACTCTCAGCAGAGTTTATGGTCGCCCTTGAAAGAAGAGCGGCGGCTGCGGTGGCTGACCTCAATCGCGCCCTGAAGGCTCACCAGGAGAGTCACGGTCAGCGCACGCACGGCGCGCTAGTTCTGGCCGTCGCCGCTGCACAGCGTGTGGCGAAGTTGCTGGCGACCGTCAAGGAGAAGCACCCACTTGGGCGTCACTCAACCGCCGCCCCGGCCTCGCTGCTTGTGCAGCTGGAAAGTCATCGCACCGCTATTCGCCGTGTCCTGCCTACGGCTGTGGCTGCAGCGGAGGCGACCAGGTCGGAGGGCGCAGCCGACACCGTCAACGCATTGCGTTCGCTGCTGCACACGCGCTCACTCTTGAACGTGGAGCTGCGCAAGGTGCAGGGGGCTGTTGACGAACTGGCGGGGACCTCGGTCTCACTGGAAATGCTCCAGAGCACCCTCCAGGACGTTAACGCGACAGTCGAGGTGGCGCAGCGCCTGGTGCGAAGACTCTTGTCGGTGAAGTCTACGGATGACCTCCTGCTGCGCCTCTCCGTCGCCGTGTTTCTCGTCGTGCTGGCGTACATTCTCGCGCAACGTCTCTTTGGTTTTTTTCCAACGCCAATCCACGCAAGGTAGCCGCACGTGGCTGGTGGCATTCGCGCTGAGCCTTCCTCGTCGAGAAGCGGCGTCGCAGGGGACGAAAAAAAAAAAAAAGAAGACGCTGCGAGCGGAAAAGCGGAGAATGGAAACTTACGGCGGTTTCTCCTTTCCTTTTCCTCTTTGCAGGTGTCTCTCTCTCTGTGTGTGTATGTGTGTACTCGGCCGGCGAGGTAACTCCTCACAGTCGCTTTTTGCCACTTCTTCATTTTGTTGTGTCCCCGCTTGAGGTGAAGTGTGTGTTCAATGAGCCGTCCGCCGCAATCGAAGGGCGAGGAGCCGGGCCTGCACCGCCCGCACGCGTCTATTCCCGCCGTCCCCGTGACGCTCACGCCGCCCACCGAGACGGCCAGGGTGCAGAGGACGACCCCCTTGTGCTTCGAAACCGACGTGGGCCGTGGCACGCTGCCAAGTATTAGCGATGCACGGCCGACGAACGCGCCGTCGTTGTCTCGACAGGCGTTTCATGGGACCAGTGACACATTGGCGACGTCTGCGAGCTCCACAACACTTGCGGCGAATGCCACTGCCACGGCGTCAAAGCAAATGACGTGGGGCCGTCCGAAGCTCATGCAAAAAGTGGCGGCGCGTCTTGCGAAGGTGGCGGTAGATCGTCAATCCAATGTCTTCCCGCTGTTTCTCAATGATCCAGAGACTCAGCAACCATGCGTGTTGCCAGAGGAGGAGAAGAACTTTTTACCCGAGAAAAGGCTTTTAATGGCGCCCAACTTGGGCATTGCCGCCGGGGCAAACGCCATGGGAGGTTATTCGCAACGCTTCGCGATGTCCAGAGAGGAGGCGGCGCGGTGGATGAAGCGAGAACGCGACTCTAACCGTCTTCTGTTCTCGTGGTGGGAGGCACGGAATGCGTGCCGCCAAGACGAGGAGGAGATTGCTGCGGTCGTGGACGAACTGCGAGGCCCGCTCTGGACTTTTTTTCGGCAGACTCTTACAGAGGAGGAGGCGCAGTGTGTCGCGGCGCAGGCGCAGGCGCAGGCGCAGGATTTGTCGGCGCCAGTCCCGGGGCAGTTAAAGCCAGCGATGGTAAAGACGAAACCGAAGGTGACTCTGAATGGCAGGGGGCCCGCGTCTTCGGCGGTTCTCCTTACAAGCTCGGAGCGTGGCATTTTAATGTCCTTGGAGCTCTACGAACGAACCTTTCGTCGCGTACTTGGTCGTTTGCATCGAAATTTTTTGACGCTGCTGCGGTGTCACACGACGGGCTCGAATGAGATCATTGAACTTCCACTGGAGTCGCTGGCGCAGGGCACCAAATATGTCCGTTTCCTCTTAGAGTCCCAGCTGGAGCTGGTTGAGGCTGAGAAGTTGCAGTCCGACGACGATGGTGCACCAGGACTGTGTTTGCCAGTTGTGTCTATTCCCGAGGAACGCTGCTTCCGACCGATGCTCGAGGTCGAAACCGCATTTGCTGTGACGCTGCTGTGGCGCATTCTTGATCAGACGAAATCCATTCTGCCTGGCATGACTTGGGCACTGCAACTTTACACGCGGTATGTGCTGCCGCATGTATATGAGAAATTTTCCTTATTTGAGCAACAGCTACCGAAGGCGGGAGCCATTGGCGAACAGGTTGAGCAGCTGTACGTCTTGCCCCTCAACCTTGTGCGGCAGCGAGCCATGATTGCGTCGAGCAAGCAGGCAAAGGAAGATGTGCGGTATATGGAGGGATTTTTAAAGAGTTGGGCGTGGCGCACGTGGCGGCGTGGCGTGGTTGGGCAGCGTCGGCGCGAGGTCGCAATGGAGATTCTGGAGAAGAGGTTCCGCCGCCTCTACGGCGTAATCCGTCAGCAGAAGTGCTTTGCCGCGTGGCGCCTCGCCGCGAAGGAGGGACGGTTCGCAGCCCAGCTGGATGCCATTGACGCGAGGTACAATGCGTTTTTTTCGGGTGCGCAGCACGCCGCTCGCGATATCCCGCTTTTTCCGGGCATGGACGAGGGCCTGACAGGCTGCCCCAACACCATCCTCGACAAGAACCGGTTTGTCGCCCTCAAGCTTGCAGAGACGGCGCAGCACACGAAGGCAAGAAGGAAGTCCGTGTCAATCATCGCCTCGGAGTCTGCGGAGTCGCAGGGAGCCGCGACGGCGGCGACAGGCCGCGAGGGATCCTCCGACCTCCCCAAGCGCAAGGCGAAACCACAGTCTTTTCTCTTGAAGACGGCACTCAAAGAGACTCCACCGTCGGCCCCCGCGCCGGAACCAACGGAGGAGGTCCCGGCAAAACCGTTGGATCTGGAGGAGGTGGGGCCGCAGGGGGCCACTTTTATCACCTCCGTCTCGCCCGCAACTGACGAGGAGGCCGCGACCTCCCCCTTGAATAAGCGCGCCTTCAGCACCTTTGACGTCATGCTAAAAAAACTGCAGGAGATGGAAACAATCAGTGGTTACTTGCGTCAGGAGATTGCCATTCAGAATAGTCTCGTGCAAAAACTCGAGCGTGAGAACAACAGCCTAAAGAGCAAAACACGCGAGCTCGAGGAGAGTCTGTTTAATTCCGAAGAGCAGCGACTGCAGTATTCTAACCTTCTACAGGAGCGGGAGTTAGACGTGCGAGAGCTAGAACGGCGCATCACGCAGCTCAAGTCTCGTTTGCGCTGCCAGCGGCACAGACCGTGGCAGCGCACAGTCATGCGGGTCGTTGGGGCTATCTGTGGTGCCTGTACAACCGCCTCCGAGTACGCGGATGACTGCCGCATTGCCCGCAAGATGACGGCGTCTGGGGTGGGTGCCAGCATTACCAGCGGGCCTCCCCAGTTGGGGGAGACAGCGGCGGCGTCGGCTTCCTACGGGCCACGCGCAGACGCAGGTGCGTCGGCGTCGGGAACGCAGAGCTCAGACGGCGCGGAATATAACGATGGACAAAGGAGCCTCAGCGGCTCGGTGACACATCTTCCTGTGGACACCACCACAGACGAGGAACGACTGTTTGGAAAGCTTGCACCGCTTGTCATTGTTTCCACGCGTGATATGCCCGACGCACAGAACATCCTGCGTGACTGGGCAAACGGGTGCCTAGAGGATTTGGAGTCCCTCGACGACCTGAAGGGGGGCGCCCTTTCGAGTCGATTTCATCAGTTTTCAGATGAGGTGCGCAACGGGGTGCTATTCAGTCGACTGCTCTTTTACTTGGCGTTGCCACGGTACCAAAACAAAACGGCTGTCGCGCCTCACGCAGGCGACGAACTCAAAAACAAGGCATCCATGCACATGGACTTCACAGATAACCGACGGCATCTGCTGATGCAGCAGAACGTTCAGCTGGAGAGCCCGTTTCCGACCTACTCGGAGTGCTTTGGTGATCTGCTTAATCTTAAGCCATCGGGGCGTATGGCGCTGCTACTGCAGTTTGCAACAGAACTCATGGAGGGGGCAGTGCAGCTTGGGGACGAGTATATTAAAAAACGCATGCTTGTGCTTCGCGAGGCCGCAATGAAGGCGACGGAGATGACACCGCTGCCGCCCGCCGATCGTGTGGAATTGCTAGAAATCGTTGACCCCTACGCCTTATCTCGGGGGGATCGCAGTGCGACACTCACCTTCATTGCACTCCTCTACGTGCGTTTCGCGCATCCCTTCAACCACAAGGCACGACAGAGTGCGTTGATTGAGCGAGAGGCGATGCTGTACCTCCTCAGCGGCGGGGCCTATTCGCGACAAGATCAGAACAGTATTGCCGAGGCCTCTAAGGAAGCCGCGCCAACCGAGAAACCGCCGGCAGAAGATGGGGAAGTCTCCATCGCACGAAGGTTTCTCGCAGAGCTGGAGGAAGAGGATCGCACGCCATGGCAGCTTTTTATGAGTTACTGCAGGCCCCTAATTAACACTATGGCGCATCCTTTTATCTTGCGTGGGAACTTTTGGCCAAACGTGGCGTTTGACTCACCGGAACTGGCTCGCATACTTGGCTCCCTCGGTCTCGCGCTTCATCGCTCGCTAGAAGCGCACCGGTGGCATATTACTATTTCCTGTCTTGTGCCAGTACAAACGTATAGTGGACTGAGTCGTGGTGTTTTTACCGGGCGCCGTGCGTCGGCTATAGCCTTGCAGGTCGGGTTGGAGCGCGACGGTGATTGGGCGTTTGCAATGGAGCTTCCATGCATCCAGAATATGTTTCAGCAGCGAGGGTTGGCGGTACGTAAGGCCATAAGTGCAGGGACTCTGGTAAAAAGCACTGCGGAGATCAGCGACGAATGGAACAACGAGAGTGAATTTATCAAGCTTGATAAATCGCGGTTGTTGTCCGTCTTTGGCAGATGCAGTCATGACCTTCTACAGCTTTTCTTGCAGCGCGGCAGTCTTGCAGAGTCGTGTGCGATGCCGGCCCTGGATCTTGGCAGTTGGCGCCTGCTTTGGTTGGACCTTGGCCTCGTGAACCCGGAGAATACGGAAAGCTCATTGCTCGACCTGGAACAGGTAACAAGAATCTTCTGCCTTGTCACGGCGGAAGTTGCGGATCCTCGGAGGGAGAGCCGGGCCTCCGACACCTTTGTTGAGTTGGTGGGCCGGCAGCAGCTGCCGCCGATTGCAGCTGCGTTGTACTTCCCTGAATTCCTTGCGGCAGTGGTGCTCCTTGCACATGAAGCGTTCCCACTGCTGGGGGAAGCGGGAAACCCGCAGGCGGGCGGTGTGGTGTGGCTTGCAGACGCCCTCACAAAGCTTGTCTTTCAGCATATAGCGCCTATCCTCTTGACCAATGCCGCGGAGGACCCATCCAACGTCATGCGGAGCCTCCGGGCCAATGTGAAGACGCAGCAGGTTCTCATACGGCAGAACAAGGCTCTGCTGGTGCTTTTTAACTCGTACTGCAAGGAGGTCTGTGGGGTGTCAGGAATGGAGCGGGAACAACTGCTGCAGATGCTGCGGGATGCAATGTTGACAAGCACAGACATCTCACAAAATTTGATCTATGAACTTTTTATGCCCTTCAGTGTCACTAAGAAAAGCGTTGAAACCGCTAAAGAGGAAAAGCGGCGCGAGCAAGATGCCCGCCCACGTGATATGCCGGTACAACGCCGCCGTGCCAACGTCAGCATCGTGGATCCTGCCCCGGATGTTCAGTTGCCAACAGGAAGATCAAAGGAAGCCACTGTGCTTCTTTACGACGGGTTCATCGAATTTTTATGCGTGCTGTGCCACTTCAAACAGCCAAATCCACTGATACCGTTTGATCAACGCCTGGAAACGTTCTTGCGGCGCGGCCTCTTGCGTCCTCTGGCACAGCGCAATGACGCCTTGTCTGCCATTTTATCAGTAGAGAAGACGAATCCAAGGCAGGATGCGTAAACACAAAGAGAGAGTGAGAGGGAGGGCGAAGGAAAGCGCTGCTCTCTCTCTCTCGATTTCTCTCTCTATCCCTTCCTCCACTGTTTCCAGAACACGACACAGATGTAAAGCAAAGTTTATATATATATATACGCACACACTAGACGATCCGTCAACGGGATATGTTTTGTTTGCTTCCGCCATCCCACAACCCCGACTGTGATGAAAAGACGGCGGAAATGAAGTGCTGTGAATTGAAGCAAAACGCGGTACGGAGCGTCGTGTCTCCTGTTCCCCCCCCCCCCGCCCTTTGTTTCCTTGATCATCAGCGACGCGGGGCTCCACTCCTTGCTCCTCTGTTTTCTCTCTGTCATTATTATTACTATCACTTTATCTATAGACATAGTCGTCTTGTCGCCTCTCGTCATTTTTTTTTCTTTTCATCCCTGCTATTGATCTCGCTGTGCTTGCGGCATGAAACGGGTAAGCAGGAAGAGGGCAAAGCCACACACACACACACACACACAAACACAAATATGACGATCCTTTCGAGACCCACTCCCTCCCGCTCGCACCGTTCATGGAAAGTTACCGTTGGCAGCCTTGAAGAGCGCCTCTGCGTTCAGCAACGCACAGAGGAGGGGCTCAAGAAAAATAAACGACTTGCACATCGTCTCTTTTACCGCGGCACGGATCTTGCGCAGTTCCGCATTATTTACTCCTCTAACCCGCTGGACTACGCGGCAGACGCGGCGAGGCAACATGCGGCCCAAAAGGAAGCAAATACATCTCCACGGGTGGTGCTGGCTGTCGCTGACGACCCCCAAGAGATTATGCGCGACTGGGAAACACTTGCGTTTCTCTGGAAGAAGCGCGCCGCGTTGAACACGAGCGACTTGCTGACGGCGGACAGCTGGAACAGACTGCGCGGTTGCATCGCGGATGTTCCTGTGCCGGCTGGCGCGCCAACGGTGGGCATAGGGCCCAAAGCAGACGCTGAGCGTGGGATGCTAAGAGGAGGAAGTTGTTGCTTTCCCTCTTCTTCTTCCCCCTCCAGAGCGTCAGCGGAGGAGGAGGTGTCAAGTCGGGAGCCACGGAGGCAAGAAGAAGCGAAGTTGGATGCCTATGACGTCTTCCTTACTCGTTTCATGCGTTTATGGCATTGGCGTTACCCCTCGGGTACGTTCCTCTATCTGCTTCTCCTGGCTCTTGCTTCGAGGTGCGGCACGATGCAGTTCCCGGTTTTTTGTATTATGACGCTCCTGGCCGGACTTACGTATCCCCTTGGAGCAATGACCGACGAGGAGCTAGCGGAGGGTGGGCAAATGCTTTCTCGGTTAGAAACGCTCCTCGGTTGGCGCAGCCCGCGGCAGGTGGTGACCGCGCTGATCACCCTTGTCGTGGTGGAACACGTGGTGGAGCTTCTCTTTCCACAGTGGCGTTTCCTGGATGCGCTGGAGCGTGTCTTGCTGCCCTTGCTGGCCGCATCGCTTCTGTACAGCGGCGCGTCCCACGTCGCGGCGTCAGTGAGTCCGCAGACGCCCTTGGCCGCCATCACGGACCACGCCCTCGAGGCACCCGCCAGTTTGGCTGAGCAAACCGTCGTGGACGGGGAAAGCGGGGAAAAGCAATTCGTGATGGACGGGCATCTGGACGCGAGGCCTCCCGCGTTGGATGCGTGCGGGAAGGCCCTTCGCGACGAACTGACACCCGAGGGACCCTTTTCTGCAATCATTACTCGCTGCATCGAGTTTGCATCAGTGTCGAACGGCTGGGTGGTGCGCGAGAGGCGGCGGAGCGGCGTGGTGGTGTTGGAAAAGCAGAGCCCTTACTCCAAAAAATCGGCCGTGCTTTTTATTGCCAACATCCCCCACGCGAATGTGGGAACGCTGCAACACGTGCTGCTCGACGATCCTGAGTTTAAGGACGCCAAAAATTCCTACGCATACCAGTACGACAAGCTATTGGCACAGAGGGCAAGCGTGGCGGCGTTAGGCATAAACGAGATATTGGTTTTGACGCGCTACAAATCGTCTCACTGGGGCGTTGCCTGCCGAGAGGTGCTGAACTGGGTCAGTTGCGCCAACCTTTTTACCCCGGCGCAGCAAGAGGCACTTGGGCTGCGGCGCGATGATGGCAACGGATTGCTGGCTTTCGCCCAATGCGGGGTGGCGTGTGCAGATGACGCCGTTGCACTTCCACCCGCAATGGCCTCGGAGTCTCATGAGCGCGCGGCGGCGCACATTTACCTCATCATGGGCCTTGAGGAGGCGGATGGCTCGTTGACGCTTCACGTCTGCCACGACGTGGACCCCAAAGGCCGCCTTCCCGACCGATTTCACTCCTTTGCAAACAAACAACACGTTGCAAAGTCCGAGGCAATTATGGCGCTGTTGGGCAGAATTGGTCCCAAGCCAAACATTGTGCGCCCGTACGTCAACGCGAGGGACTTTGATCCTATCATCCGCCACGCGCCGTCGTGCGACAACGCAACGCCAAACGGGGACGCTGAAGCTTGTGAACACGCAAGGGAGCCGGCGCTCGAAAAAACTATGCCCGACCCAGAGGTGGAAAGGATTGCAAGGCGCTTTGTACAAGAGCTCCTCCTGCGTGAATGGAAATTGCATTCCGAGAAAAAAGGCACCTCCCTCTGGACAACGACGACGCCGTGGTCTGACAGGAAGGCGATGAGGACCATCTCCTTCGTTCCTGGTGTGACGCTGGGTGATGTGGAGGCCGTTGTGAAGGATTTGAGCCTCGCAGCAAAGCTGGACAAGAGCATTGAGAACAAGGTGATAGTCGAGAAGGTTTCTGACGCCGTAACGTTGTACCGCACAACGTTTCACGCTCCGATGTGGGGCGTGGCCGCACGCGACGTAGTAACGCGTGAGGCGGCCGCGTACTACCCTGACCTGGCCGAGTGCGAGGCACTGGGGCTTCCGCTTACCAGCGGGGTGTCGGAGGGTTCTGTGCTTCTCTGCGCTGGCGAGGACGCGACGGAGGAGTTGCCGACAACCCCCAACTATTGCAGGGGGCGTGTGTTCCTCTTCGGTGTCTTAGCGGAGGAGGTGGAGGGCGAGCCGGGCGTCCGGGGCGTTCGTCTCGTGCGATGTGCGGCGGCGGACCCAGGTGGATCTATTCCGAACATTGTTGTGGATGCCGCGCTAGTGATGCAGTTGGAAAACGCAGCAAGGCTGTCGGCGTGCGTCAAGCAGCATGCGTCTGCTAGGCGAAACGGTTCTTGACACCACGGCAGTGCGCGTTAGCCGCATGGAACAGGGAAGGGGGGAGGGAGGAAACGTATGAGTAAACGCCTTTTCCCTCTTCCACTTTTTTGGTTTTGTAGTTCTAATTATTCAGTGGCGGTTGGGGGTTCTTTTGTTGTTTGCCTTCGTCTTTTGAGGGTTTGCTGTTTGCATAATGCCATCCACCCCCTCCCCTCCCCTCCCCTCCCCCACTGGACGCGGTGCGGCTCCTCCGTTGGTCTTTTTGACCAACGCGCCTGCCGCCTTCCCACGGAGGCCGGCGCATACGGGGTTGATTTTGATGCACTCCCACCGCGAGTGTCCTTACTTATGTGTGCGAATGTTCGCGTGGGGGGTGCGTGGCTTTTGTCTTTCTTGCGCGGCGGCCGGCTCTCCCTGGCGAAGCCGAGGGCCACCTTGCCGTGGTGCCAGGCTTCACTGCCTCGCAAAGAGGGAAGCCGAGGGCCAGCAGTTGGCTCCTTTGGGTTTGCGTTGGCTTTCGGTGGCGGAAGTCAGGCTTTACTTTGGGCAGGCGCCGTGCGTGCAGGAGGCCCGAGACAAAGTCGGTATACTTCCAACCCAGCAGCCGCGCGCGCCGAAGTTTGGCGCCGTAACACCGCCGGTAGCTACGCGTAGCGGCAAAAAATACTCTGCACGTGCGAAGGTGTCGGCCCGTAGCGCCGCACTTGCAGCGACGAAGAAAAACGTGTGTGATTGAAGTGTAATTAAAAAATGCCTCCTTTGCTCTTGCCAATATTTTCAGAAATATGTGAATGTATGTATATGTGACTTGGTCGCTACGTCTGCTTCTTCGTCGCTTTTGTCCTCTTTATTTTTCTTCTTGCGTGTTTGTGTGTCACTTGGCACCGCGCTTGCTGCACAAACACAAAAACAAACAAAAACAAAACGCCAGACGGGGGACCCGCTGCAGAGGACTGAGGCGGACGGGGGACGGCGTTCGGCGACCGTTTCGCCGTCAATCCGAAGGGGTCCACTTTGCGCGGAGGCTGCGGCGAGCGGGGAGTGCGAGGCAACGCGGCGCAGGAGCGGCGGAACAAAAGGGACCGAAGTGTCCCTGCCTTCGATACAACGTCCACACGCCACCATCACCGCCGCCGCCAGTGGCGACAATAGGCTGGGGCGGGCGCGCGCGTTGGGGCGAGGGAAACACAAGGAGCGTCGCGAGCCCCTCCTCCCGCCCCTCTTCACTCGCCTCGGCGTCTGAGTGAAAGCGGGTGGCGGGAGGGGGCGGGGAGGGCCGCTGCCCCACGGGGCGCCTCGGCTGTGCGACACAGACCGGAGAAGGGCTGCACGTACCGACACAAGATAATTCTCCCCACACGCACGTATACAGGCACAAAATAGGGGTCGTTATAAGAAGCGGGGGAAGACCTATTTGTTTATTGTCTTGCTTAAACAAAATATTATTTTAACTTATTCATAGAGGTCGCTTTGCATAGAGGGTGTTGAAGGTTGACCGAAGAGGGATCCGGGCCGCCGTCGTACAACCACGCACACGCACTCACACTCACACAGTGAGAAGAGGTGGGGAGTCGTGTGTGCTGGTTGAGGAGGAGGATAAATAGTCCTAACGGAGAAAAGACTGGCGAAGCTGGAGACGATTCCGTGTGTGCGTGTGTGATTGTTTTAGGCCCCTGCTGTTAGGAAGAGGGGCGTACGAGAGGAGTGTGTGAGTGGGGAATAAAGGAAACACAGAGAGGGAGAGAGAAAACGAAAAAGGACGTGGGAATTTACGCGCATGACTCAGTTGTCGTCGCTTGTTTCAACGGCTTTGAAGTACAAAAGCTTCTTGGCACCTTTGGCGTGCCTTAGCCGTCGTGGAGTGAGTGGCCCCCTGTCGCCCGTCCTTATTCGCCGCGAGGCTGCATTGCCGTCTTTGTCACCTGTGTCGAAGTGTTTCGTCCCCGCCGCCCTCCTCTCGTACGTCCCTCCCCTGACAGGGGAAGGGGCGCCGCACGTCCCTGCCGCTTCACCTTGGGCGGAGGCGTCGGCTGGGATCGTCGGCGTGCGCACACATCCTCACTGGCGGCGGCCGTGGCGGAGGCAGCAACTCGCGTTTGCAGTGAGGTGTGACAGTGTGGCTCTGCAGCACCAGCGCCGGGGCATAGCAACAGGCGACGGCTGCGTGGCCGACGGCGCATGCCCTACGGCTTCAACGCTGGCTGAGTCACCCGGGAAGCAAGTGGAGCAGGATAGGGCAAAGCAGGAGGGGAGACGTGAGAGGCCGCGTCTAATATGTCTGGCTTGGCGCTCCATGAGGCCGGCTAGCGGCGCGGCGTGCAACGATAACAGTGGAAGACTGCGACCGTGCAGTGGCACCGCTGACTTAGTCGGCGCCTCAGGCGGAGGTCGTCCCCCGCCCTCTTTCACGACTCGGTTAGGCTCTCGTGAAGCCACGGCGGCACTCCGTGAGGCGCCACAAGAGAAGGAAGAAGGGCAAGCGCATGAGCAGCGACTTGATGAGGGTATCGGTCAGCTGCAGAAGGCAACAGCCATGACCGTGTTAGGTGGAGAAAGCAAACTGCAGGAAGAGCCGGTACGCGCCCCTCCCTCCGCATTTCCGCGCACAGTGGCGACTACGAGGGTAGGAGGTCACCACGACGGGGATGCTCTTGTGTACAATATTTTTACGCATCGTGTAGTAAAACGCTCCGCCGCGAGCGTACGAGCTTTGGGGGTGTTGGGCATTGGTGTTTCCCACGAGTCACAGGAGCTTGACGTCGTGGATCCCGCCGCCCTTCTTGAGTTGCGAAGCAAACTCCTCATGAAGGCGGTGAGTTGGCCGGCGTTGTGGCGGAGCCCCCTCTTCCGACAGGTGCAGCATGTCCTTCTGCGTACAACAGGAAGAGAAGAGGCGGGCGCGGTGGTGGAGGAGATTCGGGGTTTAATTCGCACACACTACCAACGAGCCAAAACTCGCAGCGGCGTGGGCGTCGTGTCAAATGATGACGCCGTGGGGTCCCCAGATGGACCCCTCGGCAATGAGTCCAGTTCGAGCAGCAGCATGTTGCTGGAGGAACGATTATTTACGTATCAGGATTTGAATGCAGAGCAGCAGCGTGTTGTGGATTTTGTGCTCGAGGGGCACAACACATACATTGGAGGCGGGGCTGGTACGGGCAAGTCGCTGCTGCTGCGTGTGATTAAGCAGGAGCTGGTGCGCCAGGGACTCGCGGTTGCCATGACGGCAACGACCGGTATTGCGGCGACACGAATTGATGGTGTGACGCTGCATCACTGCTTTGGCGTGAACATCCATGGCGAATGCACGCGTCGGGCAGAACTGCGCGCGTTTGACGTAATTGTCGTGGACGAAGTTTCAATGTTGTCGCGGGAACTATTTGAGTCTCTCGAATACCAACTGCGGCGGGCAAACGGTGTGGAGCTGCCCTTCGGTGGGGTGCAGGTGATTTGCTCTGGCGACTTTTTGCAGCTTGGGGCAATCGCCTCTTTGCCCCTAGTGCACTCCGCGGTGTTCCGACGGAACTTTGCGATGCTTAAGCTGCAACAGTCGGTGCGTCAGTTGGGGAACGACCACTTTGTGCGACAGCTACAGGAGCTGCGCCGGGGCATCGTCCCCCATGACTTGCAGGACACGGTCACCCTCTTGTCACCTGGGGAGAGTAGGGCGGCCATGATGACGAACGACGAATCCGCCGTAAAGCTGCTGCCCACAAACAAGGAAGTTGATGCGATCAACCAGACCGAGTTGGAGAAGTTGTCTGGGGAACTTGTGGTGTTCCCTGCCCAGCTCCAGTCACCGTCGCTGTCTGGTCGTTGGACGGCAACGTACATGCTGGCCGCCCAACACGGGGACGCAAGCGCCGTAGATAAGAATAAATTACTCGCGGCACTGGAACAGTATGTGTTTGAGTTCGTGAAAAAAGTACCACATGCCTCTAGTCTGACAATTTCACTTTTGGGCCAGCGGCACGTTGTCCTCTACAAGTTGTTTGTCGACGCCTTTGTATTCCGGGTACGTATTCCGCACGAACTCAATGAGAAGGATGAGCAAGACCTGGCGTGCCACCTGCGCAACCTGGAATCCTGGCTCCCGGCGCAAGGGCTGGGAGTCCAGCTGAGGGAAATCGTGGCGTCCCCCGAAGGGCTGCACACCGACGTCGACGAGTACAGCCTGACCCTCTACGCGAAGAGCTCCACGATGATGTCACCGCTGGGACTCAAGAAGGGTGCAAAGGTAATGCTTCGCACCAATCTTTCCCCAGGTCTTGTGAATGGCAGTCTTGGCGTCGTGGTGGGTTTTAAGGAGTTGAAACTGGAGTGCCTGCCGCGGTACCTCACTAAATCTGGGCGGCTGGACGCCGCGGATAGTTACATCGAGTTCCTTCAGTACGAGCACAGCTTCCCGGTCGCTTTGGCTCCAGAAGTGGACTTTGGTGGAGGGAGAGTGATCGTCGTTCCACCCACGACTTTTTCTGTCGGGGGATTATCGAATACAAACCACTATCACATGGGCATTGTGGCGTTTCCGCTGTGCCTCGCCTACGCCTTTACCGTGCACAAGGTGCAAGGGCTGACGTTGGTGGGGCGCGTGCATCTTGAGCTCTCCCGCATGTGGCCCTGCGAGCATCTGTTGTATGTTGCCATGAGTCGTGTGCGGAACCCGGAGCAGCTGACGGTGTCCTCGTTTCACAGAGATTTGGTTCTCTGCGCCACGGAATGCTTGCTCTTTGATGAGTCTCTGCCGCCCATTGAGGGGGTGCGGGTCTTGCCACACTTTTTCCAAGCCACATGGCGGCGTGTTCCAAGTCGACGCAAGCTGGCTCTCCGTCAAAGGCAGCGGTCGAAGAAGCACGCGAAACACGATGACGCTGGCACGCAAAGGGCCTCTGCAAGGAGGCGAGCCAGCGTCGCTTCTGGTCGTCGTTGAGGGGGTGGCGCCACCGGCTGCCACAGGTGTGGAATACTACCGTTGTTTCTGTCTGTTTGTTTGCTTTTGTGTTGCACGCTTTCACGCACCTCAGCCCAACCCCTCCATTCCATGCCTGTGGAAGTTCGCCGGGTGACATCATAGAGAGGGTTTTTTTTTTTGCTTTTGCTAACTTTTCCCTCTGGAGGTTGCGCCACGCAGGAGGAAAAGTGTGCGTGTGTGTGGAGGGCGGCCGCCGTCCATCGCCGCCGCTCCCCCGCGGAGCGGCGAGTTAAAAGGCGCCTTCAGCACCTCCTTTTCGTCGGTTTGTTGCAGCGACGAGGGGTAATGCAGAGCGGCGGCCGCTGTGAACGCGTTGCGGTTGTCGTGGGGGGATAGCGAGAGAGGGAGAGGGAGAGGGAGAAGCACGAAAGCGGCACACCGACATACATGCGTACATAGAAAACTAAAATATATCATGTACCTTTTATCCCCATTATTTTCCATGTAGGGGAAAAGTAAGGCTTAGACGATTCCACTCTGTCTTTTTTTTTCCTCTTTTCCTTCTCTGCCTCCGCTTTGCATCACCTCTTGCGCGGGTGACTGAGTGGGGGGAGGAGGGGGCGGTGCAACTAACGCATGGACAAATCCAATAGATATCATGTCATGACATTAACAACAGTCCAACTGCAATGGAATCCATTAATTTTTTCCTCTGCTTCTCTGTTTCTTCTGCGTTGCCGATCTTTCTCTCTCTCCGGCTTATGCATATATGCATATATGCGTAATATATACAAACATTTGCGTCTCTCCTGATTTCTCGGTGTTTGCCGTAGCTGCTGCTTTCCTCTTTCCGAAGGACATAGAGGTCGCCTCGAGCTGAAAGGCCGAGAGGACTGCCTGTAACCGGAAAGGAAAATAACAAAACCAGAAGAAGAAAGGAAAGGAGTAGTGGTGCGTTTTTCAAATAGACCAGCAATTGCCCCCTCCCTCCCCCGACAACCAAAGCACGCGTTTTTTTTTCTCTTATTGTTGCTCTTTTTTTTTTAAAGTCCTGCCGCTGGTGGCTTTGCTTGGATTGCCTTCCCATCGTCTCACCGCCCCCGTTACTCTCACTGCGATGCTGCGCCGCTTTGTTGTCCCCTGGCTGTGCGCAGGGGTCGCGGCGCGAATGGCACTGACGGGCTACGAGAGCTACGCGCGACGCTTCATTGGAGAGAAGCAGCCGAAGGCGTCTTCACCTAAGGCCAAAGATGCGGCTAAGCGACCCATTAAACTCCCGACCGCCGTCGAAGTCGTCGCAGATGCCCAAATGAAAGCAGCAAGCAAACGCAATCTCCAGCTACCGCAGCCAAGGCTGCAGGGTGTTGCTCCGGCGTCTGCGCAGCTTAAGCAGAAGCGGCTTGCGAGGAAGCTGGACGAAACAGGACTTCCGGCGGCCTCGCCTCGTGCGCCAAAGCAAGAGCTTGAGATGATGCTACCTGTAAGCAAAACTACGCAGCAGGGCCTGGGGTCTACGCTGGTGTATAATGCGCTCACTGGCCGTATGACCTCGGAGGTGTCCCCGTCAATGCTTTGCCTTAAGAGCATAGGGTTTGGTGTCAATGAGAAGCGCCAGGTGTACTTGGAGAAACCGGAGGTGGTTCGTCAGCTGTCACAGAAGATGCGCAACGGGACGGCGACGCTCCCCGCGCACTGGCCAGTTTCTATCATACGTGCCCTAGGTGTTATCCTTCGCAACCGCGCCATTTTGGATCCTGCCGAGGCGATTCAACAGATGATCCAGGTGAAAATCAATAACTTGGCACATAACCGTTATGCCGCTATTATTAACGCCGTAGGTAGCGGCGACATTGATGATGCCTTGGACCAGCCTTCTGATGACCTGCAGGCGGTGGAACTCAACGAAGAGCAGAAGCAGGTGATTGAGCTCGCCCTCAAAGGACACCTGCTGTACATTGGTGGGAGTGCAGGGACAGGAAAGACGGTCTTGCTGCGTGCGCTAAATCATAGACTGCAGGCGGAACGCCTACGTGTCGCCATGACGGCCACGACAGGGGTCGCTGGGTGCCACATTGGCGGCTCTACATTTCACCATGCGCTGGGCGTCAACGCACAGGGAGAGTTTCTCCGCAAAAGTCACCTGTTAGACTACGACGTTATCATTGTGGACGAGGTATCCATGCTTTCGAAGCGAATGTTTGAAGAGTTTGACCGAACCCTGCGCGAGGAAGCGGGGACGCCCGATCTTCCCTTCGGAGGGGTGCAAATCATCCTCTGTGGGGACTTTCTGCAGCTTGGGGTGATCAACGAGTCCTCCATTATCAGCTCCAGTCTATTTCAGGAGTCGTTTGTAAAGCTGCGTCTCGAGACACAGGTGAGACAGGTCCCTGACAGCGCATTTGCAAACTCCCTACAGCAGCTGCGCCTGGGCGTTGTTCCAGACAGCCTTTTGCAGTCTGTGCAACAGCTCCCTGCTGGAACAATGGTGGAGTCGGCGGTGAATCTGCTTCCCACAAACAAGGAAGTCCACGCTGCGAATGAGCGGGAGTTGCAACGGCTCCCCGGGGACGCCGTCATGCTGGTGCCAGAGACGGGTATTACTTCCCTCAAGTGGGACGCCACAGCCACACTCCTGCTGCGTACTAAATCGGACTTCAAAGAAGAGGAGTTCTCGAAGCATGTGCGCTCACTTCTGCAGGCGACACTGGACATGCCCAAGGCCTCACTGCTTTGCCTCTACCGCGTCTACGAGGATGGGCACGCGATGCGTGTTTGCCTTCCACAGGGGGAGAGTGCCACGTGGCGGGATGCGATGCGTGAGCGATTCTTGGAGGTTGCGGGGCTCATTAACGACTTGGAGCTTGGCGCCACCGTGACTGAGATTCTGCCGAATGGTGACGGCATGCACACCCCCGAAATTGAGGAATACCTTCAAAAGTTAATGCAGAAACACCCGATTGCGCAACCGGTAACCTTCAAGAAGGGGTGCCGTGTCCTGCTGCGTGCAAACCTTACCTCACGCCTGGTGAACGGAAGTATTGGCACCGTGGTGGACTTTGTGGAATGCGCTCTTCAGAATATTCCTAGCTTCCTTCGCTCTGATCGCGTGGACAACTGTGTGGAGCGATACCGAATTTTCTGCATGACGGAGTGCGGAATGCAGGTCCCCTTGTTGCCTGTCGTGCGGTTTCACAGTGGGGAGACCGTTGTAGTTCCTCCGTGGGAGTTCAACGTTGGGGGTGGGCCAATCACGAATTACTACAGCCTGAGTAGTGTGGCGCTGCCGTTGTGCCTCGCCTACGCCTTTACCGTGCACAAGGTGCAAGGGCTGACGTTGGTGGGGCGCGTGCATCTTGAGCTCTCCCGCATGTGGCCCTGCGAGCATCTGTTGTATGTTGCCATGAGTCGTGTGCGGAACCCGGAGCAGCTGAGTATGTCATCCTTTCAGCACAGCATGGTGGTCGCCAATAAGGAGTGCGTGGAGTTTGATCGCAAGCTCCCTGTCGTAGGTGCGTTGCCGTCAACCGCGAACTTTCACGTCTCCTCATGGAAGCGCTGCAGCGACACCGTTTACCACCTCCGGCGCCGAGGCGCCTCCCTGAGCCACCTCCTCACCGGAGCCGCCCTAAATGAGGGGCATAGCACCGACGCCGGAGGAGCAAGGTTGGTGAACCCGGTGAAGGGTACATTAGAGCACTCGGTGCTTGTGGCGCGCCGGCTGCGGAAGCTTGTCAAGTGCACGGAGCGCGCAGCGAAGTTGCAGGCGAACCGTCGAAAGCCTCAACCCGCCCCAGCCGCTAACAGCACCGATGACGCTGACGACACCACGGCGGTGGAGCACATTTTATAGAAGCACCAAAACGCGTTTTTTTTTTCTTCCCCCTACTTTTTTTTTCGTCAATGACGTTTTATTTGTCACCCCTTTTCTTGTTTTGTTTCTTTCAACTCAAGTGAGGGCGGAGGAGGAGGGACGTCGTGGAGTGCGGAGAAGGTTCCCGCTCGGACCGGGTCGTGGTGAGGCCCACCGGCTAAGAGTGGGGCAAGCCGCACCAGCACGATGAAGCGACATCCGCGTCCTCAGCATAGAGCAACAGCAGGTGTCATGTATGCCACCTTCACCACCATCCTACTCCCCCCTGTTTTGTTTACCGTTTAGAGCACTAGAAAACGAGAGAGACGAGCTCGAGGAGTAAATTGAAGTGACAAGGAAATAGACTCCCCAAGCACAAAAAAGAACTTGATTGTGCCATGCGATCTTCCGGCCCTTCTCTTTCGTTTGCTTTTTTTTCTTCTGGCTCTGCCGCTTTCTTTTTTTGCCAGGTCAAGGCTTTTTTGTTGTGTGTGTATTTGTGTGTTCATTGACCCCCCACCCTCTAACATCACCCGCATTAGTTTTCTGGATTTGTACGTATCCAGCACTATATATATATATACATTTATGTACGGTTCCTTTGTTTCTGCGGGTGTGGCTCTCCTCACCAGTTCACCCGGTGTGTTGGTACCCATAGACAATTTTCATTTTCCCTCCGTTTACGAAGCATGAGTGCGTTGCTTGCGTTTGTACCGTGAGAGTGTACTTTTTTTTTCGTTTCTTTTTTTCTTTTATCTGGAGTGTGTGTGGGGGGACGCCTCCATCCCCTCGAGGAGGGCGCGCCGTAGAAGTCGGCGCGTGAAGCGTCACTCCGGAGGGAGAATAACAATAGCTGCGAGAGGCTGCGAAAAGGGGTGGGAGGGACATGCGGCCCCTTTTTTCTGCTGCCGCGCGTCTGTGCTCTTCCTTTTCCGTCTCTCTCCCTCTGTGGGTATGTGTGTGTGTGTGTCCGCTCAACGACGCCATGGGCGTGTGGCCCCAGTCCCCACACCGCCGCCCACTGCACGGAAGCACCGCCACCGGCCTCCGTCCATCTCCCGCTCCCTCCCCACGCTTTTTCTGCCTCGCTGTCCCACTGGCCTGCCGCACGCTGGAAGCACTGAAAGGTTTTTTTTTTCGAAGGCTTACGAACCAACAGACACAGTTACACCCACACAAACAAACAAGCAAAAAAAAAAAGCAACGCAAGAGCCCAAGAAGCGAGTGGCGGGGAAACGAAAAAAGGCCAAATGTCTGCATTCACCATCCCTGAGAAGCGCGAGCAGCTGATAATCATGGCGAAGCTCGCGGAGCAGTGCGAGCGCTATGATGAGATTCTTGTGTGTATGAAACGTGTGGTAAAGCTAAGCCCCGTCCTCTCTTCGGAGGAGCGCAACCTACTCTCTGTGGCGTACAAGAACGTTATTGGGGCCCGGCGTGCGTGTTGGCGCAGCATCACCGCCCTCGAGCAGAAGGAGGACATCAGAAAGGACAAGAACGTCACCCTCATCAAGGGCTTCAAGAAGCAGATCGAGAAGGAGTTGAGCGATATCTGCTCCGACATACTGGAACTTATCGACAAGCACCTCCTACCCAACGCGGACACCAATGAGACAAAGGTGTACTACCTCAAGATGAAGGGCGACTACCACCGCTACTACGCCGAGATTGAGACAAACACGGAGGAGCAGAAGAACAAGGCCCTGGAGGCGTACACGCAGGCGATGCAGTACAACTCCTCGCTTAAGCCCACGAGCCCGATCCGGCTTGGCCTCGCGCTGAACTTCTCCGTCTTCTACTACGAGATCCTCAAGAGCCCGGACCGCGGCTGCCAGTTGGCGCGCCAGGCCTTCGAGGAGGCCCTCAGCGACCCCAGCGTGCTCGACGAGGAGCAGCACAAGGAGGCCGCCCTCATCATGCAGCTTCTCCGCGACAACCTCGCGCTCTGGACGGAGGACGCCCATCCGGAGGGGCACGACGACGGCACTGCCATGGAGGAGCTCGAGTAGCGCGGGCGGCGGGCGGGGGGGTGGGTGGGCGCGTTGGAGAAACGGCGCCGGCGTGCCGACCGGTGAATAAAAGAAACAGAGAGAAGGAAAACGAGAGAAAAAAGAAGAGGGGCGAGGGGGGAAGAAAAAAGAAAAAGTGTAGTGCGATCAAACCGAAAATGAAAAAAAAAAATGATGAAACGAACGTGACACACTAAAAAAAAAAGGAAGAAACGAAAAGGAAAATGAAAAGGAGAAAAAACACACACACAAAAAGTGAAATGTTTCCCTTTATTCATCGACGTATGAAGCTGAAACCCAGACGGAAAAGGAGAAGAAATGAAGGGGCGGAAAGTAGAAATAATAGGGGGAGGGGGAATGCGTGCAGAAGAAGGAGAAACCTTTTTTATTTTTAAGGGGAAAGCACAGAGTGAGGGGGCGAGTCACGCCCCACTGTGGCTCTTGAGGAGATTGTGTGCGTGTAGTGTGGGAGCGAAAAGGCGAGTATGCGACGAGGGCCGAAGACAAACGTGGAGAGAGATGGAGAGGTATAATGTAGACAGAGGAGAAACAAAAAAAAAGAGGTGAGGGGAGCACGAGAAAAAGGTCTATGGACTGGAAGGCGTCTGCAGGCAACAACCACAAAAGGAGGGGAGGGGACGAAGGAGAAAATAGTGAGAAAAATAATAATAATGAAACACAAGGACACCGGAATCAAAAATTGATCAGATGGAATCGATGCATATCGTTTCCTTGTGCTCATTTTCTTCCCTCCCTGGTTTACTTTCCCACGCTCAGCTTCATTTTTGTTTTGCTGTTTGCGCGCGCTCGCCACCTGCTTTGCGAGGCGGTTGGGGAAGTGTATTATAGAGCCCGGCCCTATTTTTGCTGCTACTGCCGCAATGACTAGTTGCGTTGTGGCGTTTAGAGGACGGACGGTGGAAGGAAAAGGAAGGGTGTACTCACTTGACGGGAAAGGGGCGTGGGACTACAACGTACGCAGGCGGCTGGGAGAAAAATAACGGAAATGGATGCTGAGAAACGCGAAGAGCAAAATTAAAACTGGCCGTAGGCGAATGTTAGCAATGAAACGCGAACGTGTAGAAGCTGGACTCCGTTGAGCAAGGAGAATAGAAAAGGAAGAGCAAAAAAAAAACGGGGGAAAAAAGAGAGATGCGGGCGCACGCCTACGCATTGGGGGCCTACTCTTCACGCCCATCTGCCAAGCTTTTTTATTGTGTTGGTTGTTGTTGTTGTTTTTCTCTTGGTGAGGGCAGTGCTTCTTATTGTTCTTTCGTTCCTGTCTCTCTCTTATGTGGTTAGATCCGCCGCCTCCTGGCGATGGAGTGGAGGCGATGAGAAAAAGGCGAGTAAACGTTGGGAGGAATGAAGCAAATGAATGGACCTGTTTTTGTTCCTATTTTTGTTCCTCTGCTGGGGCGGCTGGCGATGCTGCGTCTGCTGACCTTTTTTGGGGGGTGGGGTGAGGGGAGGGATGTGTGTTTTTTTTATTGCTCTCCGCTTCTGGCGTTCTTTGGTTTTGTCTCCGTTTCTTCATCTCTGCTCAATTTTTTTATATCTTTGCTTGTTTCCTCATCTTCGCTGCTGTGAGGCCGTTGTGTGTACGCCCCTCCCCCACGATCTGGCGGCCGTGTGTCGCGTCTCTTCCTTCACTCCCATGGCTTTCCGCTGTCGTCGATGAACCCTCTTCTCCGTTTAGCTCTTTGGGGGGGGGTCTCTTCTTCCTGGGTGAACGGCAGGAAAACGTGCAGCTACCGCCGCCGCCGCCGCCGCGCAGCCGTGCTGTGTCTTTGCGTGCATGACTCTGAGAGGAGAGAAGAATGTATTCGATATCCGGACTCTCTCCATGTCTTTCTTCGTCTCCGCCTTTTCCCTTGATCTCCTTTCGCTCGTTTCGCCCACGTTGTTGCCTGCATGTGATGTTCGTCCTTCATTTTTTTTCTTTCACTTTGCCTGCCTGCGCTTTGGCACTGTCCTTCTCTTTCCTTCTGTTTGGTCGTCTGTTCTTTGTGCACGCTGTGTGCGTGCGGCGATGCACACAGCAAGCAATTCCGAAGGGTGGACACGCACCCACGCAAGGGGCAGAGGGAGCGAGGAGGGAGGAGGCGGGGCGCAAAGCAGCCAGACACAGTGCTTTTTGCATCCTTTCAATTGAAGGCGTGCTTAGGCCCTCCACCACTGCAGGTGTGTGGAGTGTAGAAGGAGCAGGGAGGGAATGCCGCCGCTTCCTGCTTTCAAGTTCTTTTTTCTTGCCATACGACAATTGTCGAAGCCGGTAGTGAAGGCAATCGTTTCCCGAGCCCAGAACAAGGCAACCATCACGCGTGCTGTGTGCATCGGCTTCGGTCGGTTCTCCTTGGGAATCTCTCTTGTCATTGAAAAGTGGACCGCGGAGGACAAATCCCGCGGCGGCCATGGGTCATGGGCCGTCCCAGGCCGCTCAGCCGCGAAGACAAGCGAACCTGAAGAGGGATTGCTGGTGGTTCCGAGGTCCCGTTCTCTGTTTCAGACAGCTGCGCCACCGCGTGGATCTTCAGGAAAGCAACGGATTGGTCGACTCTTTTTTCGTCGTCCGATGCAGAGCTCGTGGGGGGCGTTTCGTTCGGCATATTCTTCTTCCATTGAAGAGGAAAGTCTTGTGAAAACTGGGGCGGAGGTTCTCATAGAGTTGCTGGTCTATTCTATTCTTGCTGTTGCTCTCTACTTTGAGGTGAGCACCTCCTCCCAAGCGTCTGAGGCGAAGGAGGCGCGTATGCTACAGCGCATTGAGGCGCTTGAGGGCAAGGTAAACGAGCTCATCCAGGGCGATCATGTGGATGCAGTGGAGGCGCTTGAGGTGCCGAAGCGGGTCGTTGTGGGCCGCCTCGAACGCATGAAGGAGGGAATGAGCAACGCCTTATTTTGGCTGGTGTAAAAATGGCAGCCTTGACGTTGGAGGTGCAGCTCTCGCAGACCTTAGATTGGAAAGGAAGAGACTGGAATGTCCTTTGATTTTATTATCATTATTTTTTAAAGCTCTCTGAACTGCTTCCTGGTGTGCGTGAGGAGAAGGGAGGGGGAGGGGACACGTTCAAGCGCGAGAGTCCAGGGACATGAAAAAGCTGCTGGCGTACGTGCGCTGGAAGGCTCGTGTGGGCACCGCACCATTGTGCCTACTGTGCGGCAAGGCTGACTCGGACCATTTGCCTCTTGCGATTTCACGCGCGCACGCACACGCGGGCTTCCCCTTCTTCTTTCCTCAGGTATGCCTATCCTCCTGTCTCGCTCTGGCTCTCTCTCTCTCTATTTCCCTCTCTGTTGCTTTCCGTCTGGTGCCGGCGCTTTAGCAGGTGGGTGGCATGCGTGCGGAGGAGGGGGAAAAGGTGCCCCCCTCCGCCCCGGGCAATGGCCTCTCCGCGGAGGAGGAGCTGCGGCAGCTGCGGAGCAAGACCAACGCGTGGAAGCAGTCGGTTGCCGTCCAGCTGGGCGAGGCGGCCAAGAAAAACAAACTGCTGCGGGATGAGTTGAAGGACGTCGAAAACAAACACGAGCGGGACATGCTGGCACTGCGTGTTCAACTCGACAAGGAGTTTCGTGAGCGGACGAACCTGAAGGACGAGGAAATCAATGACCTGCAGCGGCAGGTGACGCAGCTGCGTGAGGAGAAGCGGCGCATGGCGGAGGAGCACGAAAAGAACCTGGAGGAGACGGCCAGTCGCGTACGCGAAAACAGCCGGCTGGAGCACGTGTCGCAGACCAAGACGGAGACGGAGCAGCATGAGGCAGAGCTACGGAAGCTGCGCGACGTCATAGAGCAAAAAGAGCAGGCGCTTGTACAGGCAGAACACGAGGCGGCGGTGATGAGCACCCGCCTCGATCGGTTGGGGGAACAGTACAGAGAATTGTCCGGTCTTATGATCCATGATGAGGGGCAGCTTGCTAAGCAAGAAGCAGAGGCGGAAGACGATGGAGGCAACGGTGAAGCTGCCTCACAGCACCTAGTGAAGTTGAGCGATGCGGCGCATAAGCAGCAGTTGGAGACGGCACGCTCAGAGCTGCGCAGTTTGGAAGAGAAGTTTGCCGGGAAGTTACGAGAGGCACAACGGACGCACGAGGTAGAGCGGCAGCGGTGGGCGGAAGATATTTACCAACGCGAGGAACAACTCCTGGCACTGCAGACACTTCTGCGACAGGCACAATACGAGGCTGAAACCGCCAACCAGCGCATTGCTGCTGCAGCGGCGGAGAGGGAGCGGTCGGAGCAACGCCTGGCTCAGAAGGTGGCAACGCTGAGTAAAGAGTTGGCAACGCGAATGGAACAGTCACAACAGTTAAACGTGGAGGTGGGACGCCTGCAGCGAGAGGTGAGTTCGCAAGAAGCACTTATACGTAGTCTGGAGGAGGATGCCCGAATGCGGGAAGAAGCCTTCACCTCATTGACTCTTTCAGAAGACAATCGTAACCTTGTACAGGGGCTTCAGGGGGCACTGCAGGAGAGCCGTGAGGAGGCGGAACACTGGCGCTGCAGGTATGAAGGGGCCCTCCAAAATGCGTCAGTTACAGCCGTTGCTATGCCTTTTGAAGAAAGCGAAAATGACACGACCACACTCCTGTCACCTGAACTGACCCAGCGGGAGGAGGCCCTGGCTAAAGAGGAAGCCCGTCTGGAGTCGAAGGCGAGGCTGCTGAAAGCTACAGAGGCGCGGTTGGAGGAACTCAAGAGGTCGATTGCCTCACAGGCAAGTTTTATACTGCAGCAGCGTGGCGGCGGCGATGGTGGACAGCGGGGGAATGTTGAGCGATCCGAGAAACAACGCCGCGGCGGAAACTTTTTCGCCTCCACACGACGATACATGCAGATGATGCGGGAACAACATGGGGAGGAGCTTTTTCTTTTGCCAAGACGTCTGGCGTCGCGTCTTCTTTTTATTCGTTTGCGCACGGCCCTGCCAGCGTTCCTCTTGTTCATCTGTATCTTACTCTTTTTTTTCACTAGACGGTGGACGGGGCCTGTTGACTCAGCATAGGTGGAAGAACTTTGGAAGCAACCTGGTTTCTGCCCCCCTTTTGTGTGTGTATGCGCGCGCGCAAGCGGCTTGGGTTCTTTCTAGTGCAGAAACGGGCTGCAAACTCGGTCCTTGGTTTCGCATCCGTTGCGCTCATCACTCAGAAACGTTTGTGTTTGTCGCCTATGTGGAGTTGAGGAGAAACCCCTTCTTTGAATTCTGTGTCTTGTGGGCTGCTGCTGCTGCGCCTTGTACCGATGTTTAAAGGTGAAGTATGCTTCTGCCCATCCCGCCCATACTTGCCTGCTTTCCGTCACCCACGCGCCAGCGAATTTCGTTGGCCTATTTGCCTGCCGCGCGCTACGTGAGGGACTTTCGCTTAGCGGAGAGGGACGGCATTAAAGTGGACGTGGGAGCTGCTGCACTTTCTCTTCCCAAATGCTTCGAGCTGAAGCACGAGGGTGGGGGAAGGGAAAAGAACTACGATGCACAGCATGTTTTGGTTCGTGTGTGTGTGCGTTTTTGTTTTTCCGTCGGCGCTTGTGTGTCTTGAGGATTGGGGTTCAACGCGGAACCAGCGCACATCATGCTTCGTAGTGTTCGGTTCCCAGCCACGTGGCCAGCATTGTTGTTCGCTGCAGGTTACGTGGGTAATGCGTTGCAACCTCATCGTTTACTGTTGCTATTGCTGTTTGTCTTACTCTCTACCTTTTGTTTTTGCCTTCGTTTTTCTCTTGGTGGTGGGGGTGTTCGTTCCTTTTTCCCGCACTCCCTTCCTCGCGTGACGCTTCTTTCTTTCCTTCTCTGCGGCGGCGTAGTCTTCGGAGCAGGCGCCATGTTCCGAAGGAGGGCCCCGGAGGTGGTGCGCCGCTCCGTAATGGGGGCGGTCGCTAGGGCGGAGGAGGCGGACGAGACGCTGACGCAGATCCTTCAGGTCTTTAGGGGGGCGGCGGAGCCGTTCTCGGACCTTGACGAGACCATCGAAGGCGATGGCAGCGCAAGGCGGCAGGGTGCGCAGGCGACCCCCGCATCGTCCCCCGCCATTCTTACCTCCAGGGGCTTCTCCGCCTCGCTAACGTGCCCCAAGAAGTTTTACTTGCTGCAAAAGCGTCAGGACCTGATTCCCAACATGTCCATCGGTGAGGCTGTGCGCCTCGATGATGGGGCAGCATTCAACGAACTCGCGCGGAGGTGGGATCGCCTCCAATTCGGTAGTCGAGCCGTCGTTGTGCATGAACGGGACTTCGATCAGGCGGTGCAGCGGACAGAAGACACCCTTGTGAGGTACTTCCAAACTGTGCATGCGCAGTTGGGCGAGCAGGCACCGTCCCTGACCATTCACCGCCCGGCCTTCGCCGCACCGTTTGGTGGCAACTCCATGTCACCAACCGCGGCAAGTCCTGTGGAGCTGCGGGCACGACCAGCGGTGTTGCGGTTTCGCCCAAAGGACAATCAGTGGGTTATTATTGATGCGGCAGCGGTGATTGACCCATTCGGAAACGCCACGCGCCTTGGGCAGTGTCTTCAGCGTCTGCATTTCACAACCATTGCCTTTCGTTACTGGATAACCCAGGCACACATCCCAATCCAGATACGCAAGCGCTTCCTAAACATTGACCTCGACACCGTGACGGAGGAAAGCCTCAAGGGTCATCGGCTGGAATCCACGGCACAAGTGGCGGTGCCACTTGACTTAAAACGCAGTGGCTTCCTGCATATTCGACAATTTTTCCCCGGGCCCGTGACACTCATGGATTGCGACCCGTCGCGCCTGGTGAAGTATGTGCAGCGACTCTCCTTGGAAGACATGCTGGAGGCGGACACAAATTCCAACCATCGTACCACTGGGGCCTTGGATTTCAGCAGCATCAGTTTGCGCGAGGAACCGCTTCTGGCGGAGCTGCAGAAGGAAGTGGAAACACTGCAGAAGCGTGGTGTAGACCATCGGCACCTAGGCACTAGTACCTCTAGTCGAGTCGCAAAGAGGAAGGAAACAGAACTGCGTGAGCTCTTCGCGGCGCAGCAAAAACTTTTAGAATCCCTCATTTGTACGCGTACGCTGCGGCTTATCGAGCAGGGCCATGACGCTGCAAACGTGCAGAAGTGGACGAATTTTGCGCACCACGATGATGCCATTGTGAAGTCCACCTTCGGCGAAGGAGACGAGGCCCGCGACGAGGATTCACTCGAAGGTAAAGGCAACCGAAGGAAGAGTCCGGCTTCGAAGACGAGAAAGAAGGAGGAGGCGAGTGGCGTTGCAGGCCACAACAATGGCAGTCACTTGCCCGGCGTGCCGGCGTACTCGGAGTTCATAGGCGCCCACTGCTCCCGCGGTGACGTCTGCCCTTTCTTCGCGGAGGGGTTGTGTCTGCCAAACAAAATTGAGGACCCGCTGATGCAGTCTGACAACCACCTCTTTACCCTCCCCTCGACGGCTATTTCACGCAAAGCGATGTGGTGGACGCAGGGGCTTCGTACCGCGCGCGATGTGTTGTACCAGTATAAGAAAGGGACGATAAAGCTAACTGCGCCGCAGCTGCGTCACGTGAAGGCCGTTGCTGCAGGCAAACTGGGTCTAAACCCAAAGGAAATTGAGGACTTCTTCTCGCGCATCCGTTATCCGGTGTTTTTTATTGACTTTGAGGCGACGCAGTTTGCCCTGCCACCCTTTGAGAAGTTGGTGGCGTACCAGCCCACCCCGTTTCAGTTTTCCATCGATGTGTTTCAGGAGGACATCCTCACCGAGACCCCCACCCATTACGACTATCTGCACTTCGGCAAGGGGTACTCGCCCAACGTTGATCCGCGCCACGGGTGCGTCGAGGAGTTGATGCGCATTGTGCATCTTGAGCGCGCGAAGAAGCGGCAGGCAATGGAGGACTTAGGCGAACTTGAGCGGATACGGAAGCAAAAACTGCTTCTCGAGCAGGAGGAGCGGGAGGCGGCAAAAGGGGCAAAACGACGCGGGCGAGCGCCGATCAAGCCCAAGCCTCTCCGCATAACGAAGCATAACCCGTTGTCGGAGCCTCTTCACCCATACGATGGCTGCTTTATTGCACACTTTGCAAGTTTTGAAAAGTCGTGTTTGGAGAAGCTCGGTCAATTGGTGGATGAGCACAAGGAGGAGATCAAGCAGTTTTACTTTTTGGACACACTGGATTTGTTTAAGCGCGGCATTGTTCACCCCAATGCACAAGGCTCCAATTCTTTGAAGAAGGTTCTCCCTGCGCTCTGCCCAGACTTTCAGTACGGCGTCTTTGGTGAGGAGGGAAGTGGCGAGGACGCTGACGCGGCGGACGTGGACGCGGGCAACGGCGGCAGACAAGATGAGCAGAAGGGCGAAAATGCGATGGGTGTGTATCGTCTCTGGTACCACCACGAGGGCGGGGGTTCGCTTAAGGATCTCCGTCAGGTTGCCATGCGAGACTCCCAGCGCCGAGGCGCGAGCGACGCGCCTGTGCAGGGGCAGCAGAGGGGGCTGTTGCTGCCGCCGACCCGCAAGGAGTTGCGAGACAGGGCGTGGGCCTCGCTGCGGATTCAGCTCCTGGAGTACTGCTCGCTAGACACCAGGGCGCTCTACGAAATCATGCGCCAGGTGTGGCGGGAGAAGGAGGCGGCGAAGGGGGTCAAGCCGGATAAGGGCGGCTGGGTCATGACAACCCCGCTTCCTCGCGAGTTTGACTTGTGACTCTCGCACAGGCGCCAGAGAAGCTAAAAATGAAGGGCGGTGGTGGTGGCGCTGGCGGTGTTGTAACGGATGGGGGAAGAGACATAAAATGGCGAGGCGAAAAGGTGAAGACACGCAAAACAAAGCCAAAAAGAGCCTTTGAAGAAAAAAAAAAGAGGAGTGGGAGTGGGAGGAGGAGGGGGCGCAGTAATAACGACAACGCGGGTGACAAATTGAGCAGAGGAAGGGGCGAGAACCGAGTGTGTTGTGTGCGCTGTGGGTTAATGGAGTCAGAGAGAATGAAAGGGCGAGAGTGAGCGAGAGAAAGAAAGAGAGAAGACCACTGCACACGGTGCTGTTTTGTTTTTATTATTGTGTATTCTCCAAGGTGTCATCTGCGTGTCCCCCGGTTATTGTTGCTGTTCTTGTTTTGTACTCTCCCTCTCTCTCTCTCTCCACACTTGCATACATATACACATACACGCACGTTCTCCTCGTGGTGGGATGACACGCGCCCAGCCCTCACACGATTTTGCTGTAGGCGCCCGCGAATGGCTGCCCCCTCCTCTTCCCTCCTCTGACTTGTTGTTTCTTGCAGGAAAGTGAGCCGAGAAACGACGGTAGGGGCGAAAATAGAGGCAATAACAACAACAACAACAACAATGCCGGTGGTGGTCATGTGCGACGGCGCGCCAGCCTCTTTGAAGGCGATCGGGTGGGCCGCCGTTCCGGGGAATCTGACGCGGCAGCACGAGGGCGAGCAGCTCATCCTCGTGCACGCGTGGAGCAGGGATGCCGTGCAGCGGCCTTCACAGTTTAGGGAGCCGCCCGAAAGGCCACCCTCACTCGACGACGCGCCCTCGCTGAACCGGCTCCCGCTCTCCCAGGTTGTGAAGGGCACGCTTGAGGCAATCACCGAGAACAAGCTGACTCGGGACACCCTCAACTACAAGTTAGAAACAATGCTTTTGGGTGATCCCGTTCTGCATGTGGCGTTCCCACCCGCTGCACTGCCTACGCAGGCTTCTGCCAAGGCGTCTTTGGCAAAGAAGGAGCTCGCGGCGCAGCAACAGCAGCAGACAGTAACGCAAACAGACGCAGAGATTGAGGCTGCTGCACGAGAGGCAGAACAGGAAGCAGCACAAAGCCGCGCCACAAACATTGCTTTGTACGCCAAAGAGAGGGCGTTGCACCATCACGCAAAAGCCATACTACTGGGGGCAGGAAATTCCATGGATGGGAAGAGCATTCTCCTTGGACTTGTTGCCAAGACGGTTCTTCGTGAGCTGCGTCAACAAAGCGTCCTGTGGTTTATAAAGAACAATGGCTGCACAATGCGGCCCACTACTGCCATGGTGCGCTATGTCGTTGTACTAGTTCCCGCATCCAATGATGAGGAATCGCTTGAGCGAGATTGTCGTGTGGTGCAATATGCCTTGGGGCGCCGTAGAGAAAAGAGCATGGACACTGTGAGTGCCGTCATTGTCGTTGAGAGCGCCACTTCACCAGAGCAGGTAGAGCGGTACTCGCAGGCGATGCGTGCCCTGCTCCAAAGAAGCGCACCGGCGACGGATTCTAAGGAGGTGGAAGATGTGCATGGTGAGGACCCTCCTCCCCCTCCCGCCTCCCCCGCGACGGACGGTCCCCTCTCAGTGGATAAAAATGAGGTACCGTCTGGCGAGGAGGGGACGCCTCGGGAGGCTGCGCTGGATCCCGGAGAGTCCTTGCCAGCCGCTGAAGAGGTGAACGGTGCCGCGGAGGAGCAGCAATGGCCAGAGGTTTCCTTGTGTGAATTGCGCACCACCAAGCAGGTAAGCGTGCCGATGGCGGGGAACGTGGCGGGTCAGGTTGTAAAATTTCTTCAGCGGCACAAGACAGACGTCGTGGTGTCTCCCTCAACCCTTCCGGAGGAGCTCCACATGGCGCTGCTTTCCGTGTCGAAACCCCATGTTCTCATCGTGCCTGCGGCTGATAATGCTGCAGCTGGTGCAGCTGCCGCTACGGAGCCGCCTGAGGATGAAACGAAATGTAGAGAATGAGTGGTGCAGCAGCAGCAGCCCCCAATAGGGGTGCCTGTGTGTGTGTTTGTGAGCTTGGATTTTGGTTGTAACGTTGCAGTTGGTGGATGTCTCGGGACCATCTCTCTTTTTGCTGATGTCGCTGCTGGGAAGCGGAAGAGGAAGGGAGCGGGGAGAATGAACAAAAAACTACTCTAGGGGGAAAAAACAATTCCCTCTCTTTTTCCGCTTCCTTGGATTCATGCTCTGCCGCGAATTCTCCTCCTCTCTTTCTTTATTGTTTGTTTGTTTTTTTGTCCCAAGCAGCTGTGTTCTTGTGGTCCGTCCTCTTTATATATATATATCCCTCTCTTTGTGCAGCGAAGCTCCGTCACACATGGCGGAACCGGTGATAGCTAAGCTGGGGACGGGGGTGGTGGCGGCGGCGGCGGCGGCGGGTTTGCAGCCAACGGAGTTCTCATCCCCCATGCCATCGCGGGAGGAACACACTGCCATCGGCGGCAGGGCGCAACTCTTAGCTGCAGCTGCCGGTTCCCGCGGGGCGCCACGGGTGGAGGTGCCAGCCTCGGTAGTCCTGCGGCGGCGACGCGGCAACAGCCAGCTGCACCCCCAGCAGGATGCCACATCGGAGTGCGGGGAGGCGCCCGGCACGGGGAAGCCGCAAATCACTGTTTTCACGCAGCACGGCCCCATTCACACGGCGGGCGATGGCGGCCACAACCACGCCCCGCACGCTGCAGCTATGGCGTCGTCCAAGGTGTCTCTGCGAGCCACGGGGTCAGTCGCCTCCAGAGGAAAGGGCGAGGGTGGGGCGCACGATGGCAGCAACGGAGCGGCATTGCAGCGTCACTGCTCCTCTGAGCATCCCCGAAGGCAAAATAGTTTGACGCGGCATAATGAGGGATCACTCGTGGAGGTGCAAAATGGCGATAGGAACTCCGCTAGACGGTCATCACGGCGTCGCAGCGGCAGTAATGCCTACGGCAACGGTAAAACCAACGAGGTTGCCACAATAGACGGCAACAGTGGGCATAAATCAGCGGCCTCTATCTACACAGTCGCGCATTCTGCCGTTGGCCTGCACGCACCCCTTACGGCGCTGCGCCTGACCGACCTTGAGTGCCCCGTTGCAAAGCGCGGGCAGGTGACGCTCCGCGCCAAGGCAAACAACACGAAATGCTCACGAATGCGGCATAAAGTAGTCAACCTCTACTTGTGTAAGTACTCACTTCTCCGGATCATTGCAGAGGAGCAGGGATTTAGGACGCAGGAAACAGAAGAGGAGTTGGAAAAGAATCAATTCAATCTAGTATGGTCCGACACTGTGCTTCCGTTGACGCGTCTGGTAAGACTGGCAAACTGGCAGCGCACCAATCATTTTCCCTCGATGTATCTGCTCTGCCGCAAGGGCCACTTGGGTGTCACACTTGGAAAGATGCGCCGAGTGCTCCCCTCGCACTTTCTCTTCTACCCGAGGACATGGTCGCTTCGCAGTGAGCGGCATCAGTTTGTGCGGTTCATGATGGCGCTCCGCTCCAGGAAGGTCTCCAGGTTTTTCATCCTGAAGCCCAATTCCGGTTGCCAGGGCCGTGGCATCATCATCTCGAGAGACCCACTGGCTGCCGTGGAGGACGCGGAAAACTACATTGTGCAGAGCTACGTCGCGAGGCCGCTGCTGTTGGAGGGGCGCAAGTTTGACCTTCGCGTGTACGTCTTGCTCACCTCCATTCGCGCCCCATCGATCTTCATGTTCAACGACGGCCTCGTGCGGCTCTGTGCCGAGCTGTACGAAAAACCCAACGATGGCAACGCCCGCAACGCATGCCAGCACCTGACGAACTACGCCGTGAACAAGCACAGTCCGGAGTATGTGTTTAACGATAACGCTGAGCATGGCCACCTTGGCAACAAGCGCAACTTCAAGTTTCTTAATGAATGGTTAGAGGCAGCAGGTCAGTGCCCAGAGGAGTTTTGGTCGTCCGTTGCCCACGTCATTTGCAAAACCATCCTTGTTGCGCAGCCGCAGATCGCCAGCGTCTACAACTCCTGTTTTCCGCGGCCAAACGACGGCTACAACTGTTTTGAGCTGCTGGGCTTTGACATCCTCATTGACTACAAGATGAAGCCGTGGCTGTTGGAAGTCAATCACACGCCCTCGCTGGCCACCGACACCCCGCTCGACTACGACATCAAGCACGCCCTCGTCAGGGAGGTGTGGGATATTATTGGCATCAAGGCCTCCGACAGAAGGCAGATGGAAAAAAAGGAGCGGGACGACTTTATGCAACGTGTGATGCGAAAGCCGATGCCCACACAAAATGCGACAGGCAGCAATGGTGTGAGAAGCAACGAAGTCATATCGTCCACCGCGACACCCGCCACGAACTCCCTGTCGCAACAGCAGCAACAACAACTCCTCAAGACCACCTCGACCCTCACTGCGGCCACGCAGGAGCAGGCCATGGAGGCGGTTAGCCTCGTTGAAGAGCGGCGCGCTCACGAAGACGCGAAATTATGCAACTTCCAGCGCATCTACCCCACAACACATGCGCAGCACCAGATCGTGTATGACGCCATCCTGACGCAGGCCCAGGCACAATTTGGCTCACCGCGCCCTTCCTGGGTGAGCTCGCCTGCACCAAACTCGCCGCAGACAACAGAGGAGCGTCAACGACGTTTTGATTCCCTAGCTGTGGGCATGAACACCCCACACCGCGTTCCCCTCGGGATGAGTCTGCGAGATCGAAGTGCGTTGCCGACCCCAGTTGAAACAGGCGCGGATATCTCAATTAATTCTCCCTCGAATATTTCTACGCTCTCCATGGGGCAACAAATGCAGCGGCTTTGTGAGGACATGAAGCTTACTCAGCGCCGTGGCAAACTGACACCGCGGGTAGGCTCTTTCCTCAACCCCACAATGGGCAGTAAAAGTGGTATGAGCAACGACGAACAACACCCCACCCATGGACCCTCGGATTCACCGCCATCGACTGAAACGGCGGCGACCAAGTTGGCACCAGGGCGGAAGCGTCCAGTGCTGGGCCGTATATCTGTGGTGAAGGGCGCTGACGGCCCACCACGTAAGCTGCACATCATTACTACGAAGCTGACACCCTGTGGACCCCCTGGCGCACCCCCTGTTGACACTTCTCCACCAACCACAGACCGTCTCGAGGCGATGCGGAGCCTGCAGCAGCGTCTTGACCAAGATGCTGAATGTGAACGATCTCCGTCTCATGACAGTGCTGATGGGAGCTCCTTTGGCTTAGGGGAGGAGGAGTAGCAGTCCTGAACGCGGCCTCACAGTCTCTTGCATGGCGTTATTAATTCGTTCCTCCTTCTTATTTAATTTTTTTTCAGCGTTGTTGTTCGTGTTTGTTAGTGTGTGCGTGTGTTTCTGGTTCTTTCTTTTTCTCTCTCTGTGTGTGCGTATGTGTGTGTGTGTTGCGGCAGAAGTTTACGTCGTACTATTGCAAGCGAATAGAAAACAGGAGAGAGAGAGAGAGAGAGAAGGAGGAGGAGTAGGGAGGGGGCGGAGAAAAGCATAAATCCAAAAAGGTGATACACAACGTTCCTCGGAGAGTTGTGGAATATAAGTTGACCATCACTTCTCCCCTCCTGACGATGATGAGGATGATGTTGGTGGCTGTTTCATCCTCACATTCCCTCACATTCCCACAAACTCACTGCCACAAGGCATGTGAGTGGCCGCGCAGGCATATGCGCGCCCCGGAGTTTCACTTGATGATGGTGGCTTCTTCTCTCTCTCTCTCTCTCTCTCTCTCTCTCTCTCTCTCTCTCTCTC